TAAAAACTAAAAATCACCATCGACCCACCGGGCCATCAGTTAACCCTGGCACGCGTGCCCAGGGTTGCTGACCCCAGACCTATACTAAGGGAAATGCACTGCATTCTTTAGTGAGGGACTTGTAGTTCTCATGTTTAAGAAAAAGTTTTGTGATTGCATTACTTTAATTTCTGAGGTTGCATTCACTCTATAAAGGCTCACCTCCCATTCAAATCACAATGGGTTGTGTGTGAATTTACACCTGACATTAACAGTAGATTTTCCTTATACTGACAGATGCTCATCACACTGACGTCAGGATGAGAATACAGAATAAATATGGAATGAGATCTACAATACCTAAGCAAAGAAAATTTCTTTACAGTAGGAGGAGACAGTAGGTTTGCTTTTCTTTTTTTAGTTATTTCTAAACAGGTTGTGTCTACAGTACCATCTGTGTTCTCAGATGTGCTGGATCTCTACCATGTGATGGAGATCAGCATAAAAATAATCTCACTGTAAAAGAAATCTCACTGTAAAATCTGCTTTTCAAATTTGTTGATGTGAGGCTGCAAACCAGGCTGTGTTGCATACAGAAATTTTTTTGACAAGCAAACTACTCCTATGGAGTGCAGTCAGTATATGTGACTCAATCTGTGGCATTCACTTACCAGTCCTGTAAGTGAGTCGAGTGGCAGTAACATGACTGTATTATACAGTTCCAACCTGAGTGTGAGGCGCACTCTTCTCAATAGAGTGAAGCAGCAGTAAGAAACAGACAACTAACTCATAAAAGGATAAAAAATATGGATGAAAACTGCTGAACACAAAACAAAAATACATACTTACGATACTTATGGACAAATCTGTCATAAACTGAGCCTTGTGGCCTGAGCAGTTGAGAGGTGAAATAAGAGAAAACTGAGACACGGTGTTGTCAATTAAACAGAGGTCTAACCATGGTAACCCTGGCTTCATCCTGACACGGAGAAGGGATGAGAATGTGGACATTCCCCACACTTGTTCTCCCGTGTTTCCTAATCAAAGCCTGAGACAGAAGGAACAAAGAAAACTGCGCTGCCAAAGAGTTTCCAGCAGAGCTGCGGTTTGTATTTTTCATGTTAAGTGAAAGGCGACCAAAATGCTTTCAAGGACTTGGGAAATTTTTCCTCTTCAGTGTCTTCAGAGCCAAAACATTCTGGTTGAAAGGAAGAAAGGGAGTGAACAAACTAGTAAGTGAAACCGTAAAGGGGTAGAAATAAGAGAGGCCAGCTGCTCTACTTGCTGAGAGGAGAAAGAAATCAGTAGGAGATCCCAAATAGTTTGAGATGGAGCTACAAAAGACATCCTGAACAAGACTGCAGAAATATTAAAAAGGCTGAAGTAGATTCATACAGAAGCAGCCAGCTAAATAGTGCCACTCAGAGTGACACCTCTATTCAAGATCCCAGGGGTAGGTTATTTTAGTTGCATATACAGATACACACATCGGTATCCACGGTGATCCACCTCTGCTCACAGCAGCCCAGCAGTGGGCAACAGGCTGCTTGGACAACTATGAGAACTTGACAATGACTCAGCTCGTATAATTTAACACAGTGAGGTATGGAGAGCTGGAGCAGCGATGACCTCATTCCACTGCCTGGTTTGCCCTGCCTGTTGTGAGGGGTCCGAAAGAATGAACAGAGAGAAAGGGGGTCAGAGAGAAGAATGATGGCACCAGAGAGGTGTCCTATATCGAGACAAACACATTCTGAAGGCACAATAGGCCGGTAAGAGTGTGTGTGTGTGTGTGTGTATTTGAAGTTTTGAAAACCACATTGAAGAAAATATACAAAGACAGGAGCTATATAATTAAGGTGCAACATTAACCTCATGTATAAATTTGTTTTCCCAGAACTTTGCGATCTAACTCTACACGAGCCACCTTAAAAGTTCCAAAACCAAACTTTAAAAATCAGATCCAAGGTCAATTTAGGCCTGAAATGTTTCAGCAACAACCATGTGGTAAAGCTGGCAGAGAGTTCACAACTTGACTCAGAGGAAGTTAGTTAAAGTCCCATTTGGAAGTACTTCTGATTTGATTTGATTTATTTAGTATGTGTTAGTACTGTTCCTGTTGAAACAAATGTACCTCTACAAGCAGATATATATCTCAATATACTGGCTGGGCCTCTTCACATGGTCTAAACTTGGGTGATTTTCTTATTTTTTAAATACCTGAATGTGACTTTTGGCCAGTTATGACTTCCCTGGAGTGGCGAGAGTCGCTGAAAGCAGAGACCAGAGACCAGAGACCAGAGAACAGCCTGAGGTCATGACAGGAAGCCTTCAGCACATCAGTCAGACAGACAAACCCTGAAGCTTTACAGCTGCAGCAGGTCCACCAGACAGTTATAGCCCTTTTTCACTCATACCTACTTGACTTCGGACGTTTTCCATTACAATCCAGCACCACCTAACATGTCTGGCGTTTTTATAGCAATGCAGCCGAAAGTCCCGTGATGTCATTTGCATGTGACACAAATGCCATAGTATGGTGATGGTATGCCTTCTGCTTTGTCTATGGATATAGGTCAAACTCAGGGACCACAGCGTTGTTTTTTTGTGTAGCCATTTCCCTCGTTGCCAGGTTTTGAATTTTAATTTGAGTTTGTGGAGGTGACGCTCTCATGACTCACTGAGTGAAGCCACATCAGCTCAGATCACTTGGAGCCCTGGCCGAATAGGTACTCCAAAAAGGTACCAGCTACCAGGTATTACCACCTAATGAAAAACCCTAAAAACTGAGTCAAGCCTTGCCAAGTTAACATGAGCAGGTACTAGTGGGAAAGGCCTCTTACTGTCGCATAAAGCTGAAACAGGTACAAATAAACACGCTATTTAAAGAATCAAAACCCTGAGATGTGAAAGAAGACTCAAGAGAAACAACAGGGAGACATGAACACTGTTGTTCCAGTGACCGCGATGGCTCAGAGCAGACAGGCTAAAGCTGTCTAAACACTGATAAACTCTAATAAAGGTTCTGCTTATCACAGCAGTCCTTCTACATCAGAAATTCAAAAACAATTAGTTGGTATTCAAACTGGGTCATGGCCTTGTGTCTTGTGGGTCTTTATATTGTAATCATGCTCACATGATGACATTTTTAGAATTACAAAAAGGAGACTAGTGTGGGCTTCAATAAAAGACCATCAAAACAAGTTGTGCAACTCTTTTCCAATAATGCATGCTCTATTAACCTTTTCCTGCTGTCTATCCTTTAGCAGGCCGGGTGGATTTTGATGAGCTCCAGCTACACCATAAGTTCAAGTATGCAACAGCTGTAGCTCAAGACATGAACCAACTATGCAGTGTATTTGCAGGATGAAAACCAATCTGTGCTGCAGGTCAAGTTAATGACAACCTGAAGACTGATGTTTTTAAAACCTGCTTTCTCACTTTGCCGCCTTCGGTGTCTGCCCTGCCTTTCTGTATCTCCTTTACTTTTGCTATAAATTCCTTTGTCACAGGGCATCAGGTCTACCAGGCGAGCCTCTCGCTACACACATTATTAGGAGCTTAGAGGCTTCACTCTCGCAACTCACAGCACATTACGCTCATCTGAAACACAGAAAGAGACTACTGTCTCTTTCTGTTGAAACAAAGCAATGATATACTAAACCTTTTAGCTGACCTGGCTTAAATTTCCAAAACAATCGTGTTTTTCAAACTGAACAAAAAGGAGAGGATCTCAGAACTACGGTGTTTCTATAAAAAACTAAATCAGTAGTATCTGAAAATCCAAAGTAAGACGTTTTGGCTGCACAAATCTAACTTTTAAAGACATAGTGCAGACTTGAATGTGCTTATGTGCTGTATACTAAAAGATACCACTGTACTATGATGTCAATACTGAAATTTCTACCTAAATTATAAAACATCCCCAGTGATGAGATTTTTAGCTCAACTCTTTGGGACTACATTACATCATATATCAAACATATACAGGAGCCTGCGCTATTTTTGCTTGGTGCCCTGTGTTTGATTATGGCTCAGTGGTTCTGTGATTTCAGTGGAAGCTGAAGCACCACATTGTTTCCTTTCAAACCTGCATGTGGTTCTGCGGTATTGCAGATGGTACGATGGTTCACCATAAGAGTGAGACAGAGGAACAAGCCTTGGCTTTTGGCACTACCAAGCCTTGAGTTAAAAAGTTGAAATGCTATGGCTCTCAGCTACCATGGGGCTGAAAAAGCTATTTTATGTCCCCCTCCTAATCTGAGACATCCAGTCTAAGGCTCTCCTAAAAATGCCACCATTATAAAGTAAACTTCTGTCTTCATTTCAGCTTGGAAAAAATACTGCAGTGATTTAAAAGGCAAATCAGTTCATGGTTTGGAGAAATGATTATGTAGAGATCCAAAAACATTACATTAGCAGACCTCTGGCCAGTATTTGTGAGAACAAGCTAAGAATAAACGATGCAACTTAAAGCTTTGATGTAAAACTCTTTGCCTGGTGTTTAAAGGATAAAGATGGTGTTGAACAGCCTTGCATTACCCTACAATTACCAATTAACTGCGTGACCCCAGCCGTACACCTGGAAAACCTGCCACATAGTTAATCTGCTACTTGACCCCTTCAGTGATAACAGACACCTCTCTGACCTTGTGACCTTCCACATACATTACACAACTATATTCACACACTAATCTCCAACACTATGCAGACAAACCCAATCCTGCCCGCAAGTGAGATAAACACCAAAAGTCTTCAGCTTCCATTATACCTGTTTGCTAATAAGTTAAGTTACCTTTAAATGTGTTTATCACTTATTTTACATACTGTAGTTGTCAAGTAATCATCACAAAGTACTTTATAGATATGAGGTAGAGGTCCATTTCCAAAGAGCAGATGTGTAACATACCTTGAAGCATGCAGCGGTATGCTGATTCAGAGATGGCATAAATGTGCGGAGGCATCTCATGCCTCTTCTTCCCTCTGTACATCTCAATGATGTTCTCTGAATAGATGGGCAGGTTCTTGTAGGGGTTGATGACCACGCAGAAAAGCCCAGAGTATGTCTGTATTTAAAGATATGAAACATGGAGGTTAATATCAAAGAGTTCTCTAAGAACTAAAAGAACATATGATTAGGTCTGCTGTGAATGTTTCTCAAGTTTGCTCACAATGATCACATAAAGCCTCAATGGAACCATACGTGGATACAAACAGGATGTGTAAAACATTAAGGTCTTTTAGACTGAAAGGAGCATGTACATTTCTGGTTTTATAAATCATCTAGCCTGCATTTTATCAGTGCAGGAAGACTTGTCATTACCCACTTTTTGGTAGCTTACATCATCATAGCTGGCATGCAAGACAGTGATAGACGCAGAGCAGAGCAGAGCAGATCTGAGGGAATGCTGATAAATGAAACACTGAGCAGACACTTGTCTGTGTGCCATACCCAGAGAGCCTTTTTGATCCAAAACAGCACCGCATTAATATGAATAATGAGTTTATGGAATATTATAAAGACTCGTGTTAGAGCAAACAGTGTGCACTGCAAATGTTTAGCCTACTTTCTGACTTGCGGTGTTGCATTTGGCTATGCCATTAGCTTGACAATCTCTCCCTAGAGAGTGTGTGCGGTACGAAGGCTTCTGAGCTATGCTGTAGGCTGAATCTGACTCAACCAGAGAGCAAGGCAGACGGCGTGAAGGGCCCTGGTGGGGCAGTGGCTCTCGCTCATTCTGCAGATGCTATAGGGGATTCACATTTCCCCTATGGATGACACAGAGAAAAGACTGCTTCACGGTAGTATGACCTTCACACTGACATGCTAGGCTTATTCCAGGAGCCCACACAAATCTCCATTGTATTTACAGAATATAAAGTACAGCTATAGTGACTGAACCTTAAGAAAGTAATAATAACGCATACATTGAGTTATGCCTCTTTCAGTGAGTTAATACCTCATATATAACTAAAAAAATTAGAGCCAGATGTTGAACAAAAGATAGATGGATATTATAAATCTGTGAGGCCGAGATGGCTAAACACCCCGGGCACCAGAGTCAGGCACCTCTCTGCTAGCTACTTTGAGTTACAGATATGTTTGTGCAGTGTTACTTAACACTACTTACAAAAACATGAACAAATTTCCAGAGGTGCATATCTCCACCAATGATAAAAATTCACTTGAGACCATGCCTGAACTAAGCTCATGGGTTCCAGAAGGATATCAGGGTCTGGATGAGTCAGCTCCATTTTCTTGAGAACATCAGAACAATACTCATTTTATTTTTATTTCAACTTGATGTGGTTTTGTGAAACATATTACACAAAATGCCCAATCGTGCCCTCTCTTAAGTGTTGACGATCCAGATTCAATCTGGATCAATTCCAAAAGTTAATAACTTCTATTTTGGGCCCAACTTCACTTCTGGTTAATTTTCAAGCAGTTGCCTTTTGAGTAATCCTGCAAAAAAAAAAGAAAAAAAAAGAGGCAACAAACCAATCACTAAAACCTCTCGAGCAGAGGAGAAAAGCAAAAGCCTGGAAATAGAAATCTGATCTATGAAACTTTAATAATTTTGACGATCAGGTTCCTCTTTTGACTGTCAACATGACAAATGCAGTTCAGAAATAAATACATTTAAAAGGAAAATGCTCCATGAACTGTTGTCCATAATAAGAGCCTTTGTTTTGAAGAGCTGTAAATATTTAAAAAGCTATTTATTCTATCGCTTCCTCAGCCATTAATATAGTACAACTAGTAAACAAAGCTACAATATTTGGAAAAGCAATCTCCTTCTGGGATCTTTTTGTATCAAAGCATCACACATCATGACACCTGCTTCATTATTAACGCTGCACCTAAGGCTGAGTACAGCTGGGACTTCTACCTGAGTGACTCAGCAGACGATCACAAAGGACCCGGAGAGCACACAGCGTACTGTAGCTGTTACGTAACAGCTCAGTCAGGGGCCTAAGTCAGCACTGAGCAACTGATGCTGTGCTGCTGATACAGAAGAAAGAAGGCGATGAAGTAGAGAGAGGCAGACGAGGATGAAGAGCAGAGCAATGATCCAGCTGACGGAGCTCCCTGTGGTCCAATCCAATGGAGAAGCAGAGGCGTAAAAAAGCACCTAACCATGCTCTCATCCTTTCTGTAAATTGCTCCCTACATGAGGGGGAGAGAGCTGCTGAAACTCTAACTCTCCACTCTCCTTTTCGAGGACTAATGAAAATTTAATTCCCCCGTATCTGAAAACTGGAGCCGCTATAAATGGAGAGTCTGTTCTGTTTCCATGGTTTAGTTCTGCAGCATTTAGTGCTAAAGCAGCTGGTGTGGCTGCAGAGAGATACCTGGACTTGAAGTTTGCTGTATCACATTCTATGTTCATGTTTTATTTGGTTAAAACTGCACAAGGCACTCAATGTTGAGTCAGCAATCCCTTGAGAAGGGTTAAAACATGTATCTCTAAAAGTATCACTATATATATATAACTTCTTTAACCTGGTAACATCAACAAGGTCATTAGAGACCCGCCCTTATCTATAGATTTCTTGTCCATTTGGAGGGTCAAGTAAAATGTCTTTTGTCATAAAACACTATTTTCAGCTCCTGTCTTATTCATAATGGTTTGTCACAGTGAAAAAAAATATGATGCCAGAATATTAAGTGGTTAATATTCCTCAAACATATGCAAATATGAGAAAAATAAAATAAGGATATTCTTATTGTGAAATATCCTGCAGGATAAATCCAGTACGAAGACCATTAACAACTGCTATTGCCAACCAGCAGAGGACACAGCTAACTTAACACCGCCTGCCAAGAAGCCATGCCTGGCCCAGTCCAGGAAAGAGAAGGTGATATTTCCACTGTGAAATCAGATCCAGGGGAGGGGATGCCGTGGCCTAGTAACAGCTGAGCAACACATAGCCAACAGCAGACACAACAGCCGACCCCATCTGCCACCTCTGATCAGTCAGACAGCAGGCCTACGTTGACGGGACTTTCACCACTCCAAAAGCCTTTAAGGCCACTCTGAGTGCAGAGGCTTGCTCGGCGCCACTAATCTGAATCTGACTACAGTAGACTTTGACCAGTTCCCCAACGGGGGCTCTGCTTCACTGATTTCATAACAAAGCTAACAAATACTTCAGACTTGGCTTTTGAAGTAAAACACTGGTATGTGTGGTATCCAATCAATTTAACAGCAGCACCTGAACAATCAAATGTATAAACTTTAAGGCAGTGGAGCCCATTATATAAAACGTACTATATGCTATCAAAAAAGCTGTATGAATCTATGGCATTACATCCACCACACATTTTATTTCTGTAGAAATCTAAGAGGCAACATAAAGAACAATCATAGCACAGCAACAGGTTACATGATAAACAACCTAAGTTCCTCCAGAAATAGAAGTCAACCGATGACTTTAATCTAATCATATTAAAACATTTTCTCTACAAAGTTATAATGATGAGCCTGGCCATGCAGGTTTTCTTCTCTTTCTTAGGTTGCGCCTGCTCTAGACCTGCAGGCAGATCCAGCATTACAATCATTCTGAGCAGGGCCATAGTGTAGGAACTATGCAAATATTTGAAATCAATAAGAAAGAAATGGATTGTGGGCCAATACTGATGTTTAAAGTAAGAGTTTTCATACACATTTTTAGTGCAAAACTCCAATACATGAAGATAAGCCTTTTAACCCAAGATCGGTCAACAGAGTGAATATCAGCTGATACTTATAGAAAACCAATGCATGCCATAAAACAAAGAAAGAAAGAAAATCTATGTCATTATTCTCCAGGACAAGTACGTCAGAGCGGAGAGGCAGAGTGAGTGTGGGAAAAGGAACTGAGTTGATGAAGATAGGACAGACACTGAGCAGCAGAGGAGCTGAAGTAGGCGGCAGGAGACAGACAGACGGATGGTCTTTTTGCCGTGGAAGAATGCTGAGGCTTTCTGACAGCTGAGGCTTATCTAACAACACAAAGGCTTGCTTGTAGCCCAGCTAGTGAGTAGCATGGTGGCTAGCCTGTGACTCACCACCGTACAGATAGAAAGGTGCCAAATTTAGTGAGCCAGCTTGACAGGCGGCCTGACTTTACACGAAACAAGCCGTCAGCTCTACAAAGGGCCATACAAAAGAGGCTGTACAGGATACAAAAATCACACAGAAACCAGGATTTTACTGACCAGTAACAGATGTGTGATTGTAATTAACAGTAAAGATACACACTGGAAAATTACTGGACGCCCACAGTTGACTTTTCTGCATGTTTCGGCAACAATATATAAGATTTGTTTTCTTCACAGTAACCTTAACATACAGATTGTGCATTACTGACCTACTGACTCATCTAGCTCAGCAGGAGCTCAGTCTACTCCACTTAACTTGAATTTTCAAAGCTTACACAAT